AAAACTCTTCTGTAGCAGCAGCAGACAAAACTATTATGCATGTGCAGAATGAATCTTCCACTGATATCACCACAACGCCGACTGTACCTGAATACTTCTCCACTAACAAAATACACAAAGCATTCATCACACCTGTACGCATAGACCGAGTTACTTGTCCCTTTACGCCCGTCATCTGCAGGTTGAAATTATCCTTGTCATAGTAATTTTTAAGAGCATATGTCACATCAACCTTTTTTCGGGCTTGTTGCTCTGTCGCGCGCTGTATACATGCATGCGGCACAACGTATTGTTTGATCACCATACTTGTCATTAGAACCTCCTTAATAACGGTATGATCGTACTCCCCGAAATGCTGCTTGTTAAACTACAATCTAACACCTCCTTCGAACTGTAATCTGGCTGCTAACAATGATGCTGGTGACTCTCGCACTATTCTTATACAACCGATCTACGTACTAGCATGTTTAATCACAGGTACTCTATCAATTTAACATATTACTCACGTGTCTTTGGTATTACAATCGATCTTTAGTGTCTGTGCTGTCTAAGCTTTATGGCAGTCCAACATATAAAATTCACGAGATCCTTTTCAAAGTCCATACTTTCATAGAGCAGTGGTGTCAGACTAGATAAGCACAGGATATGATAAAATCAAAAAATATGTATACAGGAGGCCTTGCACAGTCATTGGAGAGCAAACAGAATATTTCCATTCTAACTACCACTAATGACTATCATATACGTATTCTAAATGGTAATCGTAGCTGAAAGGATGCCTACAACCCGACGAGCGCAGGGAAATCTGGAATCGGGCGCTGAAGTATGATATGTTTAGCATGCTTGGCCATTGCTACATTACCACAGTCCAAGATTCTACAACTGTAGTTGCGTTTTGTAGCCTCGAACCTATTTAGAATTTTACTAGCCGTAACAGTTGAGTTATAGACCATATACGACGAAACATATGCGAGAAAATACGTACAATAAGTGTACAGGTACAATCCTTTGTAGCCGCAAGACTCTAATATAGACAGCTATAAATATCGAGATGATATGAGCAACCACATATAGTATACTGCACAGCAGTTACAGGCCGCAATATACATATATAAATTCTCAAAGAAAATCCATGCGAAATGCTCACAGTTGTTTACGAATAGATCCGTGGTAAAGTTTATCCGGCATATATTCACAAATCATCATTGTATCCATATTGCTCGTATTGTTCTACAATACACACCAAAGATAAATGACCTGCCAACCAGTGTATCAAAACGATATTTGGCTGCGAGGATGTCCTTTCTGACATGATCAAGTGCACTACTAAGACATTGGCCAGTAAACTTTGAATTGTAATTGATATAGTACGGCACTTCAGCAATTGATAGTTCGTGCGGCAAAATTAAAATAAAATAAAATTTGAGTTGTATAGATTAATATAGAGGGTTATGATTGTGCCGATATTGAACAATAGTATAAAACAAGAATTAATTATATTTATGTCAACTTCAAAACATCCCGGCTAGCTCAGTTGGTAGAGCGTTTGACTTTTAAATCGAAAGTTCATCGAAAGGTCGGGGGTTCGAGCCCCCCGCTGGGAAATTTTTCCAACGTCCAAAAGCGATAATATAGGATTGGGTGTTTTATATATATATAAAAAGGATGCAATATTCTACAGGCCCATCTTGAACTACGTTTAAGCATTTTGGTTCGCTGCGATAACAAGTACAAGGTTTACAGGGAGAGTCAAAAGTTCCGAGTTATATCCTTTCCGTGCTCAATCTATAGGCATCCGTTACATCACAATTAATAGGAGCACATATATCAAACTGCACATCACGCCCTTGGGATACAAACCATTTGGGTTGTATTTTATCAATAGTTGAGACACTGTCGCGCCCGCACAATATGCATCATGTGATACCATTTTTTTTTGTTTTGAAGTAGAGATCAAAACACGGGAGGAATTTTTAGCAGCCAGCTTCAAGGCTGATATTTGTTTGTTTGTTTTGTTTGTGATTTCATTTTGGACAGCCTTATATAGTGTGGTTGCTATATCAAATACACCAGTTGAACTCGATATTAAACTCGATAAGATTACTGGGTAAGTTTGAAGCTGGACCAATGTATGTTTTACGTTTGAAAGGGGATTGGTCGCTCTCTGTTTTTTAAATATTGTCACATTATAAAACTCCGGCCTGTTTCATTTCCCAAAAAAAGTTATAGAGTATAGAAATAGCCGAACATAGACTATATTAATCTTCTTGAGCCCTGATTTATACAATAATAGGTTCGACCACTGTAGTCAGGAAGTCCCTGATAGGGTTTATTTAGGATTAGGGTTTATTTGATCTTTGGTTTTTATTAGAGACTACATTTTGAACCGGGTTTATCCAATCAGGATAAAACTGATTAAGGGAAAACACTTGACAAAATGAAAGTCATAGGATTTTAGTTCAATAAATGAAACCCTAAACCCTAAAACTTCGGACGCATGCTCGTCGACAGATAGACCGCTTGAACGAGAGAATAGAGCGAACAGAGATTAGAGGCAGAGTTGTTAACAGACAGAGGATACCACGAATTATCACCGCAGATAATACGGTAGTAAATCGAACCAGGGGAAGTGATACGATAGAACAAACCCAAAGAAATTATGCAATCACATCAACATGGACACTCTGAACCACACAGCATCGAGACGAACACACACCGTTATGGGCACCGACACCTTCGCTAGAGCCAAGTCACACCAGGAAGATTGGAGAGGACAAGCAAGAATTATAGCAGATTGCAGAAGATGAATTGGAGCCCACATAAGGAACAAACAGGTAGGTGTAAATGTTGGAAGACCACCATGACAACGAGAAATATATGGATATACACACCAATCAGGTACGTGAGAAGACGTTACATCGTGATATGAATGAAGGATGTGAAATGTATAGTACTCAAGTAACCTGGTGCAATAAGAAATAGTTTGCTGGTATAAGACACGATCGGAGCGAAAGAATGACATGTGTAAGAGTCACTGTAACATATATAACATGCAAAGACGGTATCACAACGCGATGTATGATAATTGACAACAAGTGGTAAAGAGATAGGAAGTAAGATGCACACACAGTAATAGTATACAACAGTATAGAGCACGACATTGTGAGATAATTTAGTACTCGGAATGGTGAGTATGTAAGCAAGCGACTGTATGAACAATAAGCAATGTCAATGTGTGTGTGCATAGCCCGATCAAGTTGGCGGAGACAAGTGCTCGTTTATGTCCAGAAGTTCCAAGCAAGAGCAATGTGTGATATCAGGGATCCAACTAACTAACTAGATAGGTTAGAAGCGGAAGTCACTGGGGGACCAGATGAGCTTCGGGGGGGAGTCAAGAACATGTGCACAAGTGAGCTGGAAGTGGATCGTCGAGAGTAAGGAGTTACCGAGAGAGTCGTGGTACGTAGACCAATAGTAAGGGTTAGCTGGAAGAGTATGGAGCAATCACAACGTCGTTCGGGGTTAGCTTAGGGCAAAGTTGTTTAGGAAGGAACAACGCCGACGCGTCAACATCACGAGTAGAGCAAGGCGAAGACGATATATGAATTCTCAGCGTGACTTCAGTTCATCCGAAGGCGACGGCACGACAAAACAGTTGACTACTTAAGGCAGAGGAGAAGTAAAGATAGCGTCACATCGTTTATTACTCGACAAACATAATTCACGGCCACCATGACCAACATTAGACAGAGTCGTCGACAACAACATCTTTCGCCAGAACAACGCGAACGAGATGACATCCATCGACGAGGTTGTAGACGTCGTACCCAGGATCGCGCAGGCACTGGTGGAGAAATGTCGGACGATCTGGAGACGGAACATCGGTCTGATCAAACGATAGGCGGACTCTAACAGCACAACAGCAACGTGATGAACGGTTAACTACTCCTAGTGAGGTGGATTTCACGGATAGGGAACGACGCAACCCGGAACCATTAAGAGTCGCACGTTCAGCGTCGCAGGCTTTACACCACGAAGGGACAACTCGTTGAGAAGTCTCAAGAGCGGTGGTGGGTAAGCATCCTCATCACCGTCGTCAAGGGGAATGACATAGCCGAGGTAGAGACAGTGACATACCAGAACAACTGACGGATCTACTTCGACAACAGCAATCGTTATTGGAGAAATATGATCGACGATTGCAACGCCTACGGCGGGCGAACACATCCTCGTCGCCTGACAACTTAGAGTTCCACATCAGAGGGGCAGACCAAACTCGTCACGGATTAGGGTATACGTCGTCGGATTAGGAGGAAGATGATACACGACGGGAACCTTCATCGCTCCAGAGCTTTGTACAAGAACAACAACAAGCCACGCAGAACCTTCACGGTAAGGAAGCGCTAGACAACCGCCGAGATAGCATGGAGACGTCTCTACAGGCACAACGTCAGGGACAGCAGTTCGTGCGGGAAGCTATGGACGATAGGTTGCTGGCACGTAGGATGCTCGAACGTACTCCTTTGAGCCAAGTAACGTCAGCAGACAAGCATTGACGTTTAGCACAACAGATTACACCTCCTACACCGGACAGTATAGCGGCTGACCGCCAGTCCTTGCATGCCCGGATACTCAAGCTGTCAGGGGAGCTATGTAGTGCAGTAGAGACTGATGATTTATTACGAGCGGAGGCTCTACGAGGTGTACTCGAGACTTTGAGAGCAACACACGACTCGCGACCAGCGAACAAGCCAGAACCGCGGGAGCCGCGTAGTTGGCCGGAGTGGCCTTCTAACCGGTACAATCTCAGCAACAGTATGGAGCGCGACACTAAAAGAGCATTGCGTGAAGCCCTTAAGAATGCGCAAATTTCGGGTCTAGATGAAGCATGGAGTCCTCGTTGGTTTTACAAGGTGTTGAGCCATTTTGCCGAGCAATCTATGCTCGATTATATAAAATCTAATCACCAACGTCTAGTTGCATGGACACCATAACTACAGATAATACAAATCTGTTCACACGAGACACAGGCCACAGTGGACCCTACATTTCGCAAACTGTCGAAAAGCTTAGTAAGTAATGTTCCAGTGATGGAACAGATGACTTACCTTATGAAGAATCATCGGCGTGCACACGAGCGTTGTCAGACCGATGCAGGTTTTAAGAAAAACCTGCTTAACCACTGTATAGTTCAATTATTGGAAGACAACTTAGGATCCCGTGCATATGAGCGCACGTTGCAGTTATATTCGAAGTGGCAGCTTATGGATACCCATGAATTATTACAGCTGCTAAGTCCTGACATCCAGGAGGCTCAGATTCGTTTGACTCAACGTTTAGTCAACCGTCGAGGTCATAATGGGGACACAGCCCGGGGAAAACAACGAATAGTAGACCTGGCCCGCACACAGTACAGCGTCAGCAACAACAATGGCAACAACGTCCGACTCCAACAACTAACCCAACGACGTGCAACGGTTGTCGAGCACAAGCACCACCAGGACTGCGACACATACCGCGCTGCCAGTATTATCGGGCGGCCCAGCCTGGGGGGGCAGGACGATAGAATACGGACGTCAGACGCAAGTCAGCAACATAGAAATGTTTTATTAGGACAGCTGTCTACACCGTCACAGGGGCCCGGACACCAACCACCACAACACCCAAGCCGACAGACGACCTCAACCACGACGACACTTAGGTTAATGTACTCACACAAGATGACAGACCGGGGCACGATAGCCAGTCGGCCACATAGATACATATACACTCAATTCTAACAAATGATGTCGAGTAGGCCGCGGATACACAGACGGACACATCACAGTCCTCGTGGACTCCGATAACAGAGCAGCACTGAGACGCCATGGTGTCCGATGATGATGTAGCATTTACGTTTACGCATCCACTGAAGACAGTAATGGCAATTAAGGAACCACTGCTGTCCTCCGATAACCGTGTCTATATACAATTGCAGGTGAATGGACGTGCATTCCGAGCGTTAGTAGATACAGGTGCGAACCGTAGTTGCATCGCACAAGCATCCGCAGACCTCTTATGACGACCAATTACACCAGCACAAATATATTCATTTATATATTTGGCGGATAGAGCGGTACGCACTCCTCGTCTGGAGACGACAGAAGTGCTACCGATACGTTATTGCTCAGAGATCATCAATGGGTCAAGATCGACACGCAACTTTGTATCCGAGCGTTGGTTGCCGTATGTCGACGAACAAGTACAGAAGTGGTTGAAGGACCTAGTGAATACTAAGCGTACTACACCAACGACGATTAATCTTCCTGTACTGGCAGTCGACAGTGAGGGTAACGTAAAATTGTGCGCGCATGTCTGGATATGCGAGCGGTCAACGCACTGATTCCAGAAGACCAGTTCCTGATACCGAAGGCGAATGAGATCATTTCGCGGCTGAAGACCTGGAAGTACTATACCACACTCGATATATCAGCAGCATATCATAGACTACCGATACATCCAGATTCTAGATATCTGGTCAGTTTCACACACGATCGATACCAGTACTCGTTCACATCAGCACCTTTCGGGTTATACATACGTATCGACGCAGCAATTCCAGCGAATGCTCAGTACGATACTCGATAGACTACCAGTACACTACTACATTGACGACATTGTGATTGCCAGCGATGATGACGAAGAACACATTGCTAAAGTGAAGGAGGTGATTAAAAGACTGACGTACCACAGTTTCAAACTGAGTGGTCACAACTCGCTAGTCACCACCAGTCACATTCACAAGAGGTACCAGAATCAAGTTTTGGCACATCGTGTTGGTGTCTGTGCGACACATTTGTCTGATGAGCAACTTTTCTGTCGCCGACAGCCCGACACATATTAATAAACAGACGATTGGCGAATGTGACGACACCGACTTACTAAGTCTCTTCTTCGGACAGGCCAGGCGAGTGAGGTGAGAGGTGTCAGGTGACAGACTGTCCAAAGTCCAACAGCAACTTTTTTGTTCTGAATTTTTTTTTGAGCGTTTCTGGCAATCTCAATCTGTCTTCGGCATTTTGCTTTTGTTATTTTTTTAAAAAATTAAATAAAATAGAAACAAAGCAAACATTAAAATTTTGTAATATTTTGAAACATATGTACATCCAGTGGAAAAAACCCCAAAAAAACAGTATGTTTATTACCAAACAAAACAAATATTTCTTCATACTGAAAATTGAACTTCATAAGTAAACTATGATTTGATTCTATTTTGTTATAAAAAAAAAGAAAAAAAGAACAGGCTATGTACAGTTCATACATATAACGCTTCTAAAAGTAAATAAATACATAAAACTCTTACTATGTATTATAAGACCAGGGTTTTATAAAAACAAAAGCTTTGGCACTTTGAAACCAGTCCAAAGTCCAAACTCCAGAGTCCAGAGTCCGGAGTTCAGAGTCAGGAAATTTCTTTTTTTAAACATTGTTTATTTTTAAAAATATATAACAAAATCCAGCGATTGTTTCTCCGACACTCCGATTCTCTCCGTCTTTCGCCCACCTCTCGATTCTCTGCAAGTCTCCAGTCTACTCTCCACACTCCACAGTCCACAGCTGAAAGCTCATTACGTTATGGGGGTACGGAATAGAAGTTAAACGTAAACGTATACGGTTAAAATGTGATCAGAAAGGCCTACCTGTTCTTTTTATAGGACTGGATCGTATGTTGAAATCGGTACACACTTCAACTTTTAGACCCACAAGATACACCTATAATATGTATAAAACGGAACGCATATGAAATAATAGTTGAGCGTAAACGTATATTTATTCGATTTATATAAGTTTTAACGGAAAACGGTTTAAGGTCAGGACTCCACAGTCCATAGTCCACAATCCACACTCCACGCTCCACGCTCCACAAACTCTATTTATACACAACAGGACAAGTGAGTCGCGAGGAGCCTCAATTCTCCATTCTCCACTGCATATAAATATATACACTTATTTACAGTCATCAGTCAGTGAAACACACCTAAAGTCCAGAACTCCAGACACATAACGTCATAACCTAGCCTTTAAAAAAATAGAGGGAGGAGAGAAGTCTGAACTCAGAAGTGAGGGACAGTCAGTGAGAGGGTCAACGATCAACATTATTCAACACACAAGAGAAGTCACACACACATGATGTAAATATAAAATAACACATCACACGAACGGAAATATTGTAGCTAAAAAAAGCTAACTATTTATTGTAGCTAAAAAAAACCAACTATTTTACATCATGTCAACAACTCAACATTCAACAACTGTCCAAAATCTGTTGATAGACAATTAGACACTCCTTGACGGCGATGCATTTATCTTTACTTGCGACACGACAATGACGACATTCGATAATCGATAGTCATGATGATGACCTGCTCTTGAAAAATACACGAAGTCCTCTCATTTTAGTTTTTACTTCTACCTCTCTCCTAGAATCTACTCTACTTTTCTCAAGAGTCATGACTCGGGCCTGAGGGACTGACGTACCACAGTTTCAAACTGAATCCGGCAAAATGTCACTTCGCAATTGCAGAGGTCATAATACTAGGCAAAAAGGTCTCAGCGGCAGGAATTGATGTCGCCTTTGAGAAGCAGGCTAAACTACTCGACTGACCAACACATCAGCGGTACAAGGACTTTGTCTCCGCGTTGGGTCTGGCCAATTTCTTGCACGAACACCTGCCCAATTTCGCACACGTGGTAGCGCCCCTACGTGAATTTTGCAAGCTTAATCCGAATGAACTGATAAGAGATAAGTAGGAACAACGTCACTCGGATGCATGGCAGGCAATGAAGGACGCGATAGTTAACGCGGTCGTACTACACTTCCCGGTGGATGACGTCCCACTCAACCTCGAGACGGACGCTAGTGACTACGGAGGAGCACTGTTTCAGTGGGTGAAAGACAAGAAGCACTACCTCATGTTTTTAAGCAAGACCCTCAATCAGGTTCCACAGAACTAATATTAGTAAATACTACTATACATATAATACTAGTAAATACTACTACAAATATACTACTAGTAAATACCACTACAAATATAATACTAGTAAATACTACTATAAATATAATACTAGCAAATACTACTATAAATATACTACTAGTAAATACAACTACAAATATAAAATTAGTAAACACTACTATACATATAGTACTAGTAAATACTACTATAAATATAATACTAGCAAAAACTACTATAAATTTACTACTAATAAATACCACTAC